GCAGCACTATTATTTCGGCGAAAGAAAGGTTCCACCGCATGATGGAGGGTGAGAGGGATATTAACATTGAAATCGGTACGCCAAATACTCAATTCCTCACAAAGGTATACTGAGGAATCTTCAATCGTTTCGCGGAATTGTTCAAAACCGTCAAGGGTAACTAATGGGAATACTGAACTACGTTCAACACCTCACTTTGTCCAACAGCGAAGAGCAAGGCTTCCTTAAATGTTGCCAATTTTTGCTTTACCGACTTTCGCTTGAATCACAGATCCACTGATAACGTCAGATTCTGATAATCAGACTTTAATCAGAGATAAAATTTGATCCCGCTCAAGATTGAAAGATTTACTGATCCATAAATGAACAAGAATACCTGCCAAGTTGTATTTGAGAAACAATATCGATCCAAATGACCTGGCACCTGCGTTTACACCGCTGGCCGACTTGAGCCGCCCCATGAAAAAATGTATGAAAGCAGTTTTCAGATTGCAAAGTGACATTGTTTTGCAGTTTGACAAACTTAGAAACGAAGAATGAGAGATAGACGGACAGATAGAGAAAGCTGTGCATTTCTTATCAATTTTTCTCAATATCTTGTATTTTTTTATACAGTTTAAATTCGTGAATAATGATGAGACTTGATCTGATGACGGAAACCATAATTACTCAAAAAAATAAATATGATTGATTTAAATTCATTGGCGATAAAAGAAAATGAAATGGGCAACCTCTTATAACATCCTTGCCGAAACTCAGTCGGATAACAATGATGAAGGCGAATAGCTGTCTGAAAATAGCTTTCCTGCATTGGTGAGTAAACACTGTGTATTTCAAGCACGCATCTCATGCCCAGTTTCAATTCAGGCATCGTAGTCCTCGACTCAGAAAGTAGATACGCAATCCATTTCCGTTGCTTGTTGAAGATAAACGCTGTTGATGAACCGCAGCCCTCCAGCCTCAACGTGTTTTGGCCGGTTTCTTCATACGGCTAAAGGACATTTGACGACATGGTCACTCATAACGTGTTAATTAAAATAAAAAATAATAATTTTCAGGGTTAGCATTCAATTACCTCGACAAGCACTGCGTAGCCTAGGTGTAGAACGCACAGAGAGCTGTGAGGTCGCAACACTCGCTGAGTTTTTAAGCCGAAGAAGATGAATAAGATGGCGAAGATTTATCACAAACAGTTGCACGATTGACAGGTTTCAACGCGTTGAGCAGCTTTTACTTCCGGCTACAAGATTCCTGAACTGCTTTCGTTGGCTCTTAAACTTGACCATCGCCTTCTCGAACAGACGTTGTTTGAACGGGTGTTGCAAAGACGGCCGAAACCGCTGTTTCTAGACAGATCTCTGCTACCTCATTGATACAGTGAGGCAATTAGATATAAATTACTAGTCTTCAACTCTTCTGCAGCGTTTGCACTGCCTCACCTCATGCATGAACTTGCCTACCTCAGACATCATCATCAGCCTTTTTCACAGATGGACGAAGTTCTCTCTGAGACTTTGCCACAAAGTTATGTTTTCTGCCATGTTGATCCGATGAATTCCTTCAGCTCATCTTGCCACCGATCCGGAGACTTTGAAATGGACCGTTTACATTTTTTTAGAACGCAGTCTAATGTCTTTGTGGTCCAGCGATTTTGCTTCTTCCCGCAAAGTATCCTGCCCACTGCCACTTTAACTTTTTCACTCGGATAATAACATCGCAGACCCTTGCTTTTGTTCTCACTGATTCATTGGTATTTCTATGTATTCTTGTCTACAGTTTATGATCCTACCTCAATCACATGGCAAAAGTTTGCCATTCATGGCCAAGTCAAGGTTTGGTTCGCTCACTGCCCCCCGGGCTCACCAGGTACCTTTACATAATCAAACTTCGGTGTCTTCGTCAAAAAGAGTGGAAGAAAACCATATAATAGAAGATGCATGATTAAGTGTTCACCACTGAGCTGTATGGCAGGAAAAGAGCCTGATATGAACATAAAAACAGTCGAATAGAAAGGCTTCGACAAGAGGTGTTAACGAGTCTCCGTATGTCATTGATAAAAAGTGTGCTGTTTACAACTAGAACACGCTGTCTCGAAGCTCAGATAGTAAGTGAGGCAGTCACTCACATGTTTAATGTGCCTTAAGAAATCCTCTATTTACTGATATGGTCATTCCGGATCTTCCGGTCATTTCACCAATAAGACACTAACCACCATCAGCAGGGTAAACGTATAATGAAACACGATTCCAACGGAAGCTGTTCATTCCGAATCGCGGGATTCGATTCATCTTTCCAGTCGTTCCACTTTGTCGAAGACTGGACAAGCCGAATGATGAATAATACGCATGGTTGGAATTTATAGCCAGGAGGTCCATTTCCTAAACAGGTCTCCATTCATGAATATGTATATGATGTGTATACTCCATAAACACTACGGTAATCGTGAACGATTGTTATGAACTTTACGAACTGATCGAACTCATTATGCCTTCTGTGAAACAGTTCTGTCTCGAAGAAAGAAAAGGGCATGGGAACCAGTGACAAAAGTTACGTGAGCAACTTTAGACCGCATGGATCAAAGAAAACACGGCGCCATCTAACAGTTGTACAAACCACATGGGTTTCCTCGCAGGCAGTGTCTTTAGCGAAAGACCTCCAGGTCTGATAACTACTTACGTAATAAGGGTACGATATGGCGATGACCCTCACTGCCGGTCACAGAACTAACTTCGGCAGTATCATATCATCATTCCACAAAAGACAGAAAGAAGACCGAAAATCTCTAAAAAATGGAAAATAAAAGAAAGGCTATTTATAGAAATTTATTGAAGCACCGGAAACTGAAGCATCCACAGCGCCATCGTCATGAAGAATTTAAATTATAATGGACAGTGCGCCAGTACCTCCCTGGTTAAAGTGTTCTAGCAGGTCGATGAAATCCGCTGCCTCTGGCAGTGATGATGTGATCGTTGGGCCCTCGTTCACAGGTTGTTCATAAATTCGTCATTAGACTAAAATCAGTACGACGACTCAGCGGCGAACCAAAAAGCTGAACTTTTAATACATGAATGAATTGTTTCCCAAGCAGCACAGATCAGAGTTAAGTTTATATGCGTGAAATACTCCAATTCAGCAGAATTATACTTGGTATGAAAAAGGGTCTAGAGGGATTTATTATTAATAAGCATAATTTCTCCCAACTGATATACACGATGTTATTGCATTGTTGTACCACTCTTAGAAAATGTACTTCTACAAAACCAGTATAGGGGGTCATAGCGTTATGATATTTCAACACGTTCAGTGCATCGATACGTTGTGCACCTTCGACTGACCGCGCTAATACGCTGCTCGTTACGAATGCTGTTTCAAAGACCTATAATTCTTGTGATAACGATAATTAAATTCTGAAGTTATCTGCGCGATTATTATCATATGGTAATTATTAGATAGCATCACCTTATCTGACTGATAACGTTATTTCTATTGCGGCAACGAGATGTGTAGTTGTCACCGCAGTTGCAACTGAAACTACTGATCAAGACGAATCAGCTGCGGCTACAAACTGGGTACGGAATCAAGAGGTTTCAAGAAATGGTAATAACCATTCATCCACTTCATGCACTACACCTGCCACTAGCGTTTCATGACGACACAGCGTCGTCTCCTGATGTCTTCTCTTTCAACGAACCTCAATCTGCAGATGGCAAAGGACTGCATTCCTTCAGTTCATTTTCGCGTTTATCTATGTATATGCCTTATCCGGTATATCCAAATATGAAGCATAAATTAAAACGTATTTACAGACGGAAACTAGGAAGCAGTTATTCGCGGTAACTGCCCCAGGTCATCAGAGTCGTATTCGACTTCATTTTGTCTATATGTTTACCTACGTATAGAGGATAATTTTGTTGGGGCTCGAACAATTGCTATTCCTCGGCCGAATTCAGAGACGGACGTACTGCATTGAATGTACTGTAGGGCCTTCAATGCCATCGATCCATGAACTGCTTAAACTCTCCCATAGGTGACTTGAAGCGATTGGGCGTGGTAGCTACTGGAATCTGTAACATACGGTCAACGGATTTCAAGAACTGATGCAATCCATCCACCTGATATAAACGAGTTTCTAGTTGACATGTCTTTGAAGACAATAGGTTCCAAATATCCTCGTCCAATGAACTGCTGTTTGAGTAAGACGAAGGATCGTGCCAGCTTCTCACTCGGTATATTCTCTACTGATAAAGATATCAACCTCAACTTTGTGCGGTATCTCACTCAAATAAATCAATGAAATAGGATCAAGGTGCTTCATGAATTGATGAATGGGAATTTTACCGAATATATCATGAAGAGGGACTATCGCGTTTTGGCGTGTCGTCCAGACCTATCCTCGAATTATCCATCTTTTCTGTGGATAACAGGAACAATTAGTGCAGTAATTCGAGTTGTCAATGATTTAGGATCAAAATGCTTTAAGAATTCTCGCAGTTAGTCCATTTGATAAACAGGAGAAGATACGAAATTTCGTGACGAACGAGTGTGCCTTTTCGCGCTCAGTTCAATCAAGCATATTCGTAAAGCTTTGACGTCTTTTGTGATAACGAGAACAACATGATTTTGTTGTGGTAGATCAAGAAATCGAAGATACCTCATCAAACAGACTCATCATCTGTGACCCGTTACACAACAAATAGTAAACGTGAAAGTTGGTTCGCCTCAAATAACACAACGTGAGAATATGGAAGCGTTCGAAAAAGTGGCTAAGGGTCAGAACGAGTGCTGGCGCTTTACAACAGTTTGGCCCTCAGTTTGAATCGGAATTGGCAGCGTTAGAGGAACAGAGGTTATCGTTTCAAGACGAGGATAAAACCGCAACTCAGGGTCGCACTCCTGAAACACCTAAGATAGGCAGAACTTGGTGGCCTCTACGCTCAGCGCAGTGCTAAGACAGCGATTGTTCAGAACCCCGGCACTACAGAGGCCGACCTGACACCTCTTTACCCTGCAAATGCCGTCAAACTGGACATGTGCCTGCCTCGTTGCACGGTTCGATCGAACGCGACCAACAAATGGGCGGAGGAGGGGTGGGGGGGGGTACAGAAACGAAACGCTTTCTTGGAGACAACCTTGAACTTTACAATCGTGGACCACTTTACGGACAGAGAAACGGTGCCAATTAGCACCACTAATCAACGTGACAGATGTAAAGTAAACGTTTCGAACGTAACAACCAGCAACTCAATAAAGAAGTCCGCAAAGGGATGAGGTCTGGACTCGGAGTCCACCTCAGCGCCGACCGAAGACGGGCATTCAGAAGAAGTTTAAACGCCGCCTCGCTACGGGCGTCTGATGGCCAGGTACCGTACAATCGACGAAGCATAGGCGCCGTTTCCCACACCGTCAACAGGCCGTGAAGCCCTTTATTCGCGCGGTAGCGACGGTAATGGGTCAGCGGTAATTCGAGCAGCGTGCTACCATCAAGTACGATCAATGAATGCCTCCATTTCAGCAAATAACTCAATAAGTGA